CGCCCTGGAGGTCGCGGGCGGTGGGACCGCGGCGCGTCTGGGCAGTCCCGCCGCCCGCGTCCTCCAGGGCGAGAAAAGCCCCGTTCGTAACTGTGGATCCGACATAAGTCGGATCCGCGTAAGTCGGGGACTGCCTGTACATGATATTGAAAGCCACATAATATACTTGACAATAGCTACAGCATAGTACTGTAAATTTTTTCTCTCTAGCTTTGAAGTGATATTAAGCTGTTATTGTTAGATAATGCAAGCACTTCAGAGAGTTCTATAAGCATGTTATTGATTCTTTTAAAATTTTTGTCATTTTCCCCACCTTTAGTTGTCCTCCTGTCCAAGTAAAAACAGAACCAAATGAGGATTCTGGTATGTAGCTTTGTTTTGTACTATTTTGTAAAACATTCTGAGTAAGCACCCTTAATTTCAAGTGTTTAAATTTTAGATTGTGGTAGACAGTGCCATCAGAAAAGCATTAATAGCATCATGCAATAAATAAATAAACCCCTACCTCTATTTAACCAAATTATAGCCTCTTAATGGCTAAATATTAAATAATTTAATTTAAAAAAATTATCCATTTTGATTACTGAAAAATAACATTTTTATTAATATTATACATGATCTTAGATATAATTTTATAGGCCTTGTGAGCTATGATATTCAGTCTTAAAGTATAGCTTAATATCCCTTTCTGTTTATAGTAGATGGTATAAACATGCAGATGCTATGTAGATAAATGCGTTTTAGTTCATTTAACACATATAAAGAGTCAATGGGCACTCTTGTTTTTGTAAAGTGACAAGTCATGAAGAGCCTGAAATGAAGAAAAGTCAAATCTTTGCTGCATATTGTGCAAGAACATTTGCAGCATTATTAATACTGTTCTGTAGACGCTGGGGGTACGTCTAGACTACATGGCTCCGTCGACGGAGCCATGTTGATTAGGCTGATCGGCAGAGGGAAATGAAGCCGCGATTTAAATAATCGCGGCTTCATTTCCCTCTGCCGATCAGCCTAATCAACATGGCTCCGTCGACGGAGCCATGTTGATTAGGCTGATCGGCAGAGGGAAATGAAGCCGCGATTTAAATAATCGCGGCTTCATTTCCCTCTGCCGATCAGCCTAATCAACATGGCTCCGTCGACGGAGCCATGTTGATTAGGCTGATCGGCAGAGGGAAATGAAGCCGCGATTTAAATAATCGCGGCTTCATTTCCCTCTGCCGATCAGCCTAATCAACATGGCTCCATCGATGGAGCCATGTAGTTTAGACACACACTTAGGGTGGTAATCTTCTGCTAGTCAAAATGTTTTGAAAACCAATTTGCTGAAATGCTGAACGCATTGTTTAGTGGACCGTAGACCAGTTCAAGGTCGTAGAGTGCTGCTGTCCACAGCAAAATGACTCAGTTCCAGGAATCCCTAGATTTCAACTGAATTCGAGTGTGTTCGGGGTGGGGACAGGGAGGTTCAAAACTTTGATTGCTGGTTGTGTGCAAGAAGGGATGAGCCCATCTTGACTTTTTGGAGACAAGGTTGAGTTTGCAAGACTAAAAAGTTTGAAAAAACAAATGGGTAAACTGAGCTTATTTGATAGGAAGTTTGAGCTAAAATAAACCTCGAACCCCATTATGCCATTTAAAAAGAAAAGTATCTTACCACAATACTTCAAACTGGTTGCTTCTCTTTATGAAAAGAAGACAAGTCTGAATTTTGTTTTAGAATTCTTTATTATGAATCTGCATATGTGATTGGCGACTTTTTGGTTGCTTCTGCAGGAATTTCACTTGAGATGGTAACCGTAAAGGAGGAATCGGAAGATCCTGACTACTATCAGTATAATATTCCAGGTAATATTAGTTTACATATATTTTGTCACATAAGATGTTCTGAGTGTGATAACGGCTGTTTTTTTCCTGTTTTTAGATACATTGCAATTGTTTAAACTAGATTTACTTTTTCTGATACAAAGCCTTCATGCTGGCAACCATTTAATTAATTCTCAATGAAGCAATTAGGCATACAGCTACCACAGGAGATTTGGGGAGAGCGGAGGGATGGGTTGAGGATAAATGACATAGATCACCATAAGTAAGCTAGTAATAAGTAACTACATTGAACTGTTAGACTTGTGAAAGAACCCTTCAAAATGTATTTTGCTTTGGTGATGTGCTAGCAAAATGTATCCCCAGCGACAATTTATCGTCTTTTGACTGGCAGTATGCTAAAGGCTGTTTGGCTCAAAGCTGCTTCTTATCCTAACAAATAAATTGTATAAAATGGGTTTCATTTTTAAATTGCAAAAATATGAGTAAATTGACATTTTCATTGATTGGTATTTGTAATGGTCCAATTTTTATTTTGTTTTCTGAATTTTCAGTTTGTATATGTATAATTTACACTTTTTGATGGGGTGGGGAAATTCACCATGAGACGCAGAATTAAATTTGTTTTTTGTAAAACTTTAGATCCATAATATTGATGTATAAAGTAGTGTTATAGATATTGGCAAGATATTAGCGACAAAGGCAGATGTGGTAATATTTTCTATTTCACCAATTCCTGGTAAAAGTTATCTTGAAAGATTTAAATTTGCAGCTGAGAGAAATTCGGGGGGGGGGGGAGATCAGATAGGGGTAAATTTGTGCTGAATAACAACACAGAACACCGAGAGCCAGGACTGGTGGCTGTAAACGAACTTTACAGGACCATGGGGAACTTGGCTACACCCATGAGAAGTGGACATCTACTAACTAAAATCATGTCAGGCCACAGATAGTGCCAAACTATGGAATCCGTTGGTATGCTTAATAAAAGGAGATGGGTTAACACACATTTAGTGGCTGAAAAAGTAAATTTGACTGTGAAATACATTTTTAAACACTTATTTTTGTGTCCCCAAAGCAGGCCCTTCAGAAACTTCAGAAATTGATGAAAAAATTGCTCTTGCGAAGTCTTATACAGGTATGTTTTCAATTCTGTTTCTCTTAGCAATATTTTCTTACAGCACAGTTGGTATGTAAGTGCATGAGTTCTGATTCTCAAGACTCTACAGTTCCGACCTTGGTATGAGACACGAGTGAGATCAGTGATCTAAATTTTCAAAAGGGACAAGAAGTGTTATGTGCCTACATTTTTGGGTGCTCAATTTAAAATACAATAAAAGGGGACCCTGACTTTTTCAGAAGTGCTCTGTCATCTAAATCTACTCTCTTAACATCAGGTCCTTTCAAGTCAAATTCTGAAGCATCAAAAGTTACTAGCCATTCTTGAAAATTTAGGTCTTATTTCCATTGCCATTTGGTTTGTAAAATTATGCTTTTAATAACCCTCTTTGCATGCCACATTTCAAATTGTATTCTTCACAAAAGTGTTGTATGTTAGAGTTGGGAGGAAGAAAGCAGGGGGAAGGAACAGTTTTTAACAAGAATCATGTTTGGGTGTGGTATGGTGAAGGAAGATAGTTCTTTGCAGAATTTGAAAATCTGGTGATATGTTGCGGCCTAAACTCGACTTGCCCCTCCCCAGCAGCGTGTGTGACGCCCATTTACAAATATTTTTTAAAAAAAACCACCTAATTTGCATCTCCAGCCCAGACACTTCTGTATAAAGGTCAGAATGCTCTGTTTGTGAATTTTTGAGATTCAGAAATTGAGGTGCATCTTTTCAGTTCATGTGGAGTTCAGATATTTATAGTTTTGAACTTGTCTTATTAAAATACTTGTTTTGACTAATGTTAACACAAGTTACTCTGTATTTTTATTATGGTATATTTTACTTTATATTTATCTAAGGAAGCCACCAGGGTTCCGATTGCAGTGAAGGAACAGATGTGGAAATACCGGTAGAAGGTTAGAGATATGAAACTTTTTTCATGAAAATGAGTTAACGGCATTGAAAAGAAATTTATTTTTTAAATAAATATTTGAAAACTTTGAAACTTCAGTACATTGAAACTGTACATTATCTCCTCAACTAGTCTTGCACATGGATGGCTGATTATTTTTTCGTTCCTAATCATGACCCTGAATGACATTTTGTGATGGAAGTGATTATTCTTTTAAATCATGAATTGCATTTGTCAGGTGCTCATCACCATGATGTGTAAGCGCTATTACATGAATCCAGAAATATGATCTTCCAGCCAGTTTTGTTTCACCTCAAATCATAAACTCATGGGTTTAGTGCGCAAGTTATGGTGGCAACAATACTCATTGTTACAGTCTTCATTATTTGAATTTCAAAGGTGCCTATCACATAGCGTGTAGATAGCATTGCATAAATTTAGAAGTGCATTAGGTCCCTCAAAAAGAATAAATTTTCTGCTCTTTTGATGTGCATTAATAAAACTAATTGCATGGGAGGAAATAATCAGGGAGTATTGCTTCCCCAAGGAAATATCATGACCACTTTGACACTTAATTGTTGAGAGTCAGAAGAAAGAAATAAGAGTTACAGGGCAACTAGAAAGGTATAAGACCAAGTTTCAGCCTTATCTTTGACAGTACTGAATTCCATAACTATAGACCATCCACTAAGAATGCCTGATCTAGGCCTCTGCTTGTTTAAGTCTGAGCTCTATTTTCCATGTTGTTCTTGAATGTTTTTCTTTTATAAAATGAGAACTAATTAATTGAAAGTTGCACCCTTTTTTGCTGATAACCAAAAACCTATCCATGCTTCAAGCTAAGTTAGTGTGTTTAAAAAATATGGGGCAGTCCAGAAAATTACAAGCAATTCAGCTTTACTTCAGTACTAGGATAACTGATACGTCATTTGAAAAGAGTAAAAAAAAAAATGGCTAGATTGACATATGATATGGATGAGCTAAGATGGTTTATATAAAGGAAAATCATGCATTTGTAATCTACCAAAACTCTAAATGCCCGCAAATTACTGCCTGAGGGAAAAGAATAAGTTGATGTTCAGATTTTTGAAAAGCCTTTGATAAAGTTGCTCCTGAAAAGCTATTAGTGAAACTAAGGACGTACAAGGTTTAGTTTATGGGCAGCGTGCTAGCAAATGCACATCAGAAGGAATACATTTTAATTATTTATTACCGAGTTCTTAATTAATTGAAACCACTCACTGAGAAACCTGCTGCATAGTTATCCTGCTTCAAATGTGCAGCATTGGTAAAAACAAACATGCTAGGACACATATTACAATATTGTTCACTGCTATTTTGTCTGTTATATGACAACAGATAGTATGTCTTCATCCAGAATATTGGGTTGTCATACTGTCTTTACTGCCACAAATATTGAAGACATCCAGAAGGGTGGCAAAAATCTTTCAAGAGCAAGAGCAGTGATGGGCAACGTAGGCTAGTGAGTGGGCTGTAGAAGTGGCCATCCTTCATCTCAAGATTGTTGTAACCAAGACAGCCTCCATGGATAGGATAGTTTAGTAACTGTACTTTCAAATCCAGAATTTGCAGGGTGTGCTGATTTGAACTGTAGCAGCACTTGGGATGCAGAAGGAGCTCATGGCTCTCAAAGTCAATGTTGTGTGCAATCAGCACACATCTCACTTCAGGTGTCCTTGCTTTACATGCGTGTCACTTTAATAATACCGGTAGGGGGAAGAAAATTGTGGACTTGAAACCCGCAGAATCTGGCAACCCTAAATAAAATGTCTTGCAGGCCACACATGGAACTGTGGCCTCAGGTTGCTCACCACTGAGCTAGAGACATTTTTATGAGGAGTGATTGAGAAGATTGGGACTAATTGGTATAGTGATTAATTATATATTAAAAATACTTGGTACATGAGAGAGAAATTTATACTTTAAAACAAGTAGAAGGAAGTAGTCAGTGAAACTGAATGATGATGATTAAAATAGAAAAGATGATTTCTATTGACGCCAAGAGGTGCTAAGAAGTCAAAAAGGGGTTATCTGTTTTATATATTGATAATATTTACAAATTGCATTAGATATAAGACTTGCTTCAGGGTATAAACTAACCACTTATTGACTAGGTTTAAGAAGAAACTACTCTTCTGGGCATAGTATTTCGTAACTACCCATGGTGTGACTTCTTGCATTGTTCCTCTGAAGTATGTCAGTATGTCAGTTATCTCAGTCGCTCCTGAATGAAATTGAACAATTATAGGATTTTTTTTTATTCTCTACCAAGAGAATAGATTTGATATAGGTGAATTGTGCTCTAATATTATAGTAGCTGTTGCTGATGACTATGTGAAATAACGTGAAAAACAGTGATGAAGGGAGATTGTACACCTGGATGAACACTGGCTTTGAGAGAACACACACAGTGCTTTCTAACTAGAGAATTTGTAGAAATCTTAACCATTTCAAAAAAGAATCGGCTTCCTTTTTCTGAAATTTATCCAGTATATGTTTTCCCCACTCTGTACTGTTAAGCCAAATCCTGCTGACTCTACTGGTGCATGTTGCCCTACTGAGGTCAGTTTGACCCCCATCTACATCATTTTTCACTGTTAGTATTATAATCTGTGAGGAAAATTAGTTTAGCACAACCGGAACATGTCTGCTAGTATCTTATGAATGGTGGCAGAGAATATATAATCTGAGGGTACAAAGTCTTTGTGTACAATAAGTAATCCTTGATGATAATGAGAAGTTATGTATGATTATATGAATCCTATTAAGTCAGGAATAAGAAATTTCCTATGTAATTAATGTCTGCTCTCTGCACTGCTGCACATGCAATGTAGTATGTATAATCATATAATCCCCACCTCATTGTGTTTGTCTAAAAATGCTCAAAGGCTTGTGGTAAAGTGTCTTTGTTCTTAGAGAGGGAGGTATTTACTTCACAGTGTGCAATAAACATATTAATGTGCCACTAGGCTTCTGTGACTAGTGGCAATGTGAACTCTAAATTATGAAAGCTTGGGTAAATGTACTCTGTAGTGCATATGCCATTCTGAAGATCTTTTGTGATTTATTTTTGTTCTTAGATTCTTCTCAGCATGCCGCTTCGGAAACCAGTGAGGACCCTGAAGTTGAAGTCACCATTGAAGGTTAGTTTTTCCAACTCCTATATTCTAACCTTTTCAGGTCTCTTAGTAACAAAAGCCTTTCACAATTGTCTGGCAGAGTATGCATGATGCTTTCATTCACCCACTACGTAGAGTAAATTTGATTACCAGATAGCATTGACCAGAGTCTGAATTGAGAACTACCACATGAACATACTGGCTGTGTCTAGACTGGCCAGTTTTTCTGGAAAATCAGCCACTTTTCCAGAAAAACTTGCCAGCTGTCTACCCTGGCTGCTTGAATTTCCGCAAAAGCACTGGCGATCTCATGTAAGATTGTCAGTGTTCTTGCAGAAATACTATGCTGCTCCCATTCGGGCAAAAGTCCTTTTGTGCAAAAGGGCCAGTGTAGACAGCTCAGATTTCTTTTCCGCAAAAAAGCCCTGATCGCGAAAATGGTGATCGGGGCTTTTTTGCGGAAAAGCGCATCTAGATTGGCGCGGACGCTTTTCCACAAAAAGTGCTTTTGCGGAAAAGCATCCGTGCCAATCTAGATGCTCTGTTCTGAAAATGCTTTTAACGGAAAACTTTTCCGTTAAAAGCATTTCCGGAAAATCATGCCAGTCTAGACATAGCCACTGAGTCTAAGAAATTCAGTAAAAACTCAACATACCAAAAACATGTTAGAGCTATTAAAATGGTTTTGAATGTTTTTTTCTAGCATTAATAATACAAAATAGTCCTTATTTCAAAACTGTAAGTTGAAATGTAACACTCTGAAGAACATGCTTGTTCTGAAAACATTTTATTAACACATTTTAGACACTTACAAATTCCTAGTTTAGACAAGTTTGTTCAAAGGACTCATGAGTTGCATGTACAAGTGCTGGAACTGAAGCTTTAAACTAATTGTTTGAGACTGATTAAAAATCTATTGATAAGGTAACAGTTGTTTTTGCTTCTGATGTGTAATAAGTATGTTCAGTGGCATAGCTGCAAAGAAAGTTGTTCAAGCAATTACATGTTGCTGTTGTACTAGAAGACTGGTGGGAAGTCCTCTGCCTTACAAGTAAAAATATATTGAAAAGTTGGCATCTCTTCCAAAGCCAGAGAGAGAAAACAAATGGCTATGAATTAAAACCTACATTCTGCTTTCCAAATGGAATACACTGAAGATAGCCTGGGAAAAATGCTATTTCAGGCAAGAGACTGGCTTCAGTTTCTTTTTTCTAATTATCAAACTCTGAGGCTATGTCCAGATTCCGCCGCGTTCAGGGAACATGTCTGCTCTTCCAACATTTTTGCGGAAGAGCAGATATGCTCTTTTGGAAGCCCTGTCTTCTTCGTTCCATGAGGAAAAAGGGGTCTTCCGAAAGAGGAGGTTTTCCTGAAATTTGGCCCAATGTAGATGGGCCAAATTTCAGAAAAGCCTCTTCCAACAAAACAACCGGAAAAAGGTACGCCAATTGCAGAACGCAATTAGCGTCCCTTTTGCTTGGTGGGGCGGGGGAGCGGCAGTCTAGTCATAGCCTTATGGTAGGATTGTAAATATTGCAAAAGTGAAAGCATTTTATGTTCTGCCATAGTTTTGGATTTATTTGTTGGTTTGCTAAAACTCTTTTACCAGAGCAAAAGAACCTGAGGCCTTCATCAACTGTTAGGTGAATTTGGCCTCAGGAGCAAAGAGCCTTATAGCACAGAAATGGAAACAAATCAAAGGGTCTTAATTGGTGTTTGTTGCAGTTACACCCATGATTTTACTGGAATTTTAAAGGCTTCAGAACAACCACTGATTTCTGAGCTCTTGTTAAATGAAACTCATTCATGTCTCTCAGGGTACATCTAAACTACATCCCTTTTTCGATAAAGGGGTGTAAATTAGATGTATCGAAATTGTAAATGAAGCCAGGATTTGAATTTCCCGTGCTTCATTTACATAATGGTGGCCGCGGCTTTTTTTCCAAAAGCCGCTTTTTGAAAAAAACACGCGGTCAAAATGGGGATCTTTTGACAGGCCCCGTTTCGAAAGATCCTGTAATCTTCATTTTACAGGGTTACAGGATCTTTCAAAATGGGGCATTTCTGTCAAAGGATCCCCATCTTGACAGCTGGTTTTTTCCGAAAAGCAGCTTTTGGGAGGAAAAAGCCACGGCCGCAGTTATGAAAATGAAGCACGGGAATTTCAAATCCCGGCTTCATTTACAATTTTGTTATATCTAATTTACATCCCTTTATTGAAAAAGGGATGTAGTTTAGATGTACCCACAGGGTTGTACTGCTTTGAAACTCGGTGGAGCTCTTGAGCTCTATAGGGGGCAAATGTACCATAAGATCCTACAAAGTTTACTTTTCCTGTGTAAGCCCTAAATTCAAGTAGTGCATTTCAAGACTCAGGCCTGATCTACACTGAAAAGTTATATTGGCATAGCTACGTTAGTCACAGTGTGAGAAAACACATCCCTGACCAACAAAATGATCCTGACAAACTGTCAGTGTAGATGATGCAGCTATGTTGACAGAAGAGTCCTTCCATCAACATAGCTAATGTGATTTGGGGAGATGATTTTCCCACACTGACAGAAAAAACTTCTTTGGGCAATGTAAGCTGCATCTACATTAGGAGTCTGTGTAGTGTAGGTTATACCTTCAGTGGATAGATTTTTCTAGTTAATTAGGTAAATGTTTATTTACATTTGCTATCGCATGACTTTATGACCAAACTTCAGAACATCTTGATATGTTTAACATCTTCTTCAGGAAAATGTGAAATAAATGTTGCTTATACTTACTTTTGCTACATTCTGACACCCTTACTCTCCTAAATAGATTTTACACAGGCAGACACCCCCATTAAATCTAGGATTACTCACATGAGTGAGTTTGCAGATTTGGGCCCTTAATAAGGCACTGATTGATACTTCCATTAGAATTCTGAGACTCCAAAGCAGTGCCAACCCTGATGTGTCTCGCGCTTATTTTAAGATGATGAGGACTACTTACCACCTAACAAGAGACCGAAGAACACAGAGTCTACAAATGAGGCTGCCAATGCTGGGAGAAGAAAAGTGAGAGAATTCAATTTTGGTAAGATTCAAATTCAAGTTTATCCTAGTCGCTTGCTTCCAGGAAAAACTTTCCTTCTTGATGACCATAGATTAACATCAGGGCATGGGATTTTTGAAAAGATAAGTAGAGGCATTCCCTCAACAGCCTATATTTCTTTGTAGATCTATTGCAGTGCAAGCAAGTGTATATCACATGCATTTGTTCCTCTGTAAAGTGATCTTCTAATAAAGAAAATATGGACTAACCAATGTTGTAGCTTTTATAAACTGTCTGGAAGCCATTGTGTTGGAAACCTGAACGGTATAAACATTAGAAATAAGATAACACAAAGTAGAAGTCAGTTTAGCCATTTTCTCATCTGACCTCCTGAAAGGAAATCTGAGAATACTGAGGACAGTCGCTTTCACTTCCAATTAATGGCTAATTGAAGGTCTTAGGCCAGGAGCCAGTCCTAGTCAGTTTCTTTCACACTTCACAAGGTACAACAAAGGTGTACCAAGGGGAGCCATGCTTTGGGAAACAAGGGGGACTCCTTCATGGTGAGTAGCCTGGCTTAGGTCGTGTTTCTACCGGAAAATGATTTTTTTTTACATTGTTTTTTCTGTTATAACACAGAGCTACTGTAGTGAACGATTGCATCTACATGCTTAAGCTTTTTCCTTCTTGGATTGTTGTGTCTGCAGTGCAGTGCACGGCAGTTTATGTACTATTTATTTATTTAGCCGCACAGCATTTGAGGCAGATAGCACATAATCCAGCATAGGGATGTGGGCGGTTAACCAGGTAAGCTTAATGAGTGAGGCTAACTGTTCTGGTTAATCAATGGGGGCTGGAGCAGCTCCCCACCTGCCACAGGCAGGGAGCTCTTCTAGCTCTGTGAGGCCCTCTGCAAGTGGAGTATGCTCCAGCCCAGCCAAGACAGACCCTGTGCACAGTGGGTCTGGCCTGGGCACGCTGCAGGCTGGGGGGCTGCAGCCTGCTCGGAGCAGCCCTGCACTGCAGCATGTCTCACCTGCCTGCCCCCGCCTTAATCAGTTAACTGGCTAAACATTACGTTTAATTGGCTAACCGATTTAACATGATTTTAAATCCATAGTCCAGGATTCTGCCATTAGGCTATATGCACTCTGGGATTTTTCTCATAGTGCATTGCTGGTATGTCTCCCAGAATGTACTAGGATTTGGGTTCAAACTAAACTCCCATGGCATCTGTGGTGTGTTGTGAGGTTAGTACCATTTTCAAACTGTTAGAGACAGCGTGGAGAAAATGTGTTGAGTACCATGGTCCTGAATGCCGTTATTATGAAGGAGCTGCTGCACCTCTGATGGTGTTCCTAACTTTGGGTGGATTGTGAAAGAGCCACAGCTGCATGGGTAGAGGAGGAGTTTGAAAAAGAGCCATTACCTGGAGCAGCTCCACTCAATGGGGCACTGCTTTTGCACTCTGCAAACTAGCAGTTATGAGCAGGACATGATAATGATGCAGAACTGGCATGACCAGCAGTGGCAGCAGAACTTCGTAATGACAAAAGCTTATTTTCTAGAAATCTATGCAAAGCTTTCTCCTGGAGTTGCAGTGGCGGTACCCCGATAGGGAGTTCCCCTTTGCATTGAGAAGCATACAGCCAACACTCTCTGGAAGGTCTTGATGTTGGCAGATCAGCTGTGTGGACTCTTCTTATGGAAGTGTGCACTGCTGTTGACAAGGTGCTGATGGGCTGTGTCTTAAAGCTTGGCAGTGCAGCACAGGAGGCTATTGATTTGCACAAACGATATTTCACATTGTATTGGGACTATTATTGATGAGACCCATGTATGAATTCTTTATGCTCAGGCTTCGTTATCTGAAAAGGGTATTTGTCCGTGGTGTGCTGCAAGGCCTGGCTGATCATTTTGGAAGGTTCACAGTACTAATATATGGTAGTCTGGCAGGGTCCAAATTAGTGATGTTAAATTTAGATTAATTGGCTAATCGAATAGTCAATGCGATTTTCATCGGCTATGCAATTAGTCGATAAGGGCACCTCTGCCTTTGAAGTGTATCAACACTGATGCTACACTTCATAAGTGAAAGTGCTGCTGAGAGCTCGGGGCCAGCGGGGGACTCAAGCAGTCCCTCGCTGGCCCCGTGTTCCCCGCAGCGTTTCAAAGTGGCAGCACTGCGTAGAGCCCAAGGTCTGGCCCTAGGCTCCATGTGGTGCTGCTACTTTGAAACACCCCCTCCGATCCCCTCCCCCCACTTCTTCCTCTATCTGATAGAGGCAGCAAGGGGCCGGAAGTGACTAGTCTACTAATGTGTCGATTATCCAATAAGCATTTGCTTATCGGATAGTGGACTAGTTGTTCACATCCTAATCCAAATTATCAGGAGCTATGATAAATACCAATGAAAAAAGGAACATTTCTTCCCAGAACAAGTATGAGCATTAATGGTGTGCAATTCCTCCTGCCATTCTGGGAAACCCAGCTTATCCTCTGCTTTTGGGGCTTTCTGAAGCCTTTTACTGGCCACATGGACAGGAGAAGGATGCTGTTTAACTATACTTTGAGTAGTTACTGTATGACAGTGGAGTATACTTTTGAAAGCTTAAAGAGAAAGTAGAAATGTCTTACCTAACAAGACCATATGCTTGTGAGAAATATTTGCCCCATGCTATGGATGCTTGCTGTATTTTGCCCAGCATCAGAGAGCAAAGGAGAAATCCACATTGGTTGCTGGGTGTAGAGGTGGAGAGAGATTTCTGGATGTTATGAATAGCCTCTAAGGTTCCACAGCTATTGGGGAAACAGTGTCAGGGGAAACACTATGCTTGTATTTTGAAATCAGAGTGCAGTGGGTAGAAAATGAATATATTGTAACCAAATGAATAGCATGAGAGAGAATAGTTTATTAGGAATTGATGTTTTTATGGGGAAGGAAGGAGAATTCTCATCTGTGCTGCTTAGCAGAAATGTATTGACAAGGTCAGAGAACATATTTTTCCACATCTTTTGCTTCATGCAGAGACTTTTCAGGTTCTCAGCTGATTAAAGCCCCATATCTGTGAGGGCGGCAGCATTTCATGTGCTAGAGAGGACAGAGTAAAAGCACAAGTAAATAGTGTTCACTATGACAACAGTAAGTTGGTATTTTCTCTCTCTTTTTTTTTTTTTTTGTATGCCATCGCCATCTGCTCTTCCAAATTTGGGATATGCTTCGACATTTTCCACTTTACATCCCCTTCCTATAGACCTTCTGTATTGGTGCTTGTTGGGAGATTGGTGGATAATGGAGGATGGGAGTAGGCACTTTTGCTAACTGTATGTGGGTCTCTCTGCAGGCATCCCTTATACTGGAGCATGTTACCCTTAATTGTGTTCTCTGTAGTCAGGGGATGGCTTTGTTCAAAGTCAGCTGGAAAACCAGGGAGCTATGCAGCAAGCACTATTACTGATGAGTCTAGTCCAGGAGAGGAAAGGAAATGCCCTCTATTTTATAACTTCTGTAGATCAGGAGTACTACAAAATAGGTAGACTGTTGCAGTAATTAGTTTGAAGCCAAGGTTTGATTAATGCTGAAGGTCTATTTAAAATTAGCCATGAATATTTTATAATCCCTATGCATTTTGAAATGTCTGCAACTTATATGATAAAATGTAAAGGTAGCTACAAACTTGGGGCACTGATTGAACTCTGAGCAACATACTTTCTCTGGCTTTTCTTCCTATTATATTACAATAAACATGCATTGCAATGTGTTTGGTTTTTCTTTTAACCCCTGCAATATCACTGTCTTGAACGGTGGTAGGCAACAAAGGGAAAATCACATAGGAAGGTGGATGAGGTGATGAGTGGCATGTTTGTCCAGTGATTGTGAAATTTGATATTTCAGGGAAATGTTTAAAGGGCAGGTGCCATTTTGAGTGCACTGATGGAAGGTTGGGGAAGCTGATTAAGCAGGGACTCCAGAATGGATGTTGCCATTTTGGGTGGAGTACAATTGTTTAAGAACTTTTGTTATATACAGCCGCTCCCCCAGTTACGACCACCTCCACTTACGACCATCCGCACTTACGACCAAAGTAGTCGTAAACGCAGATCCGAGTTACGAATGGCGATCCGCACTTACGAATAGCGTGGTCGCCATGTAACTCTATGGGATCTGAGTTACAAACACTTCGAGTTACGGACCAAGTGTTGGTCCGTAACTTGTTCGTAACTTGGGGAGCGGCTGTGGTTGTATTATGTTACAGCACCTAATACTTACCAGTAGTTCTTTCCTACACAATTTCAGGCTGG